GGCACATCGTCTTCACAGGAGATGTTGATGGCTTGGTCCACGACAGCACTTCTGATGCATATTCAGCCCGCTGTGATGATGGTCATTGGTGGCTTTCACCTTCTTGCCGATCAAACTCTACACTTTGCGTTCCCTTCATCACTGGAGGTGTTGGTTGGGGCATTGAAGAGCTGATGCACAAATCGACCAAATTGAACATGCCCATGGCCCTCGGTGTGGCAGCATCCTGGAGCGCTTACACGGAGTTTCCTTTTCTGCATCCAAAATCTCACTTCTATTGGTGGATCCCAGATCCCACCTTTCTGGAGTTGGAGCCAGTTCAGGTGGTCTATCCACCGCATGACAAAAGACTTTTCAGCAGTGGTGATTTGTCGACCGCAACAGTAGGCGTTTCGGTTGACAAGCACGTCAGCAGAGACTTGAGCATTTTGGCGCCCAATGTGGAGAATTTTGTGAGCAAGATTCTTATGACCTTGGAGGACATGAACGCGATTCTCCTCGACCAAAAAAATACAACTGATAGCTGGAGACAGACAACATGCCGATGGCTTCATTCAAATCAACATGTCTGGCAATCCTGGATTCCTGATGAGAGTCAATGCTTCCCGGGCTTTGGGCTTTACGACACAGGTCTGGATGATTTCACCAACCATCGGGTGAATACCTCTAACAAGATCGTGTGTCAGGCCTGTGCCGTCCGGGCTGTGCACACTGTGTTTCATGAGACGGGGAGTGGGAGTTGCTTTGTTCAGAACTGTTTGCAGAGAGTAGGGGATGGAGTGCTGATAAAGTGATTAATGTATTGACATTGTAGGGCATGTTCTTCATGCAAACGTATCAAGACCTGACCCTATCATTTCATATATGAAGACCCGAAGTTCCTCACATTCTACGTGAAGTTCCTCGCATTCCTTGAAGTTTGCTGGGGAGGCTTGCCCCTCGGGTACCTTCTCGCAGCTCTTGGAAGATTCCATTGGCGAGACCTACATTTGTGTGCCATGTGCCAAAGGAAAAAGCCAACCTCTTGGCGCGGCCACAGATTGCAATCTTTGCAAATCAGGTAGGTAGGGGG